TTGTTGTTAATGTTATCGTTACTGCCCTAGCTATTATTATTACAATTATTGATCTTTCACGTTCAGCTGTATCCCGTTATTGTCGTTGTTGCTGCTGTTGTTGTTGTTACTGTTGCCCCACTTCCTGTCGAGACTTTTATAAAGGAAAATATATAAATAAAGGAGAAAGCTTCCATAATGTACAAAGATTAAAGAAATTACACGGCCTTGAATTTTCCATAAGTTTGCTAATGCTGATCTCATTTACGTTAGATTGATTTTGGGCAGTCAACATGTTCAGAAAATAATATCGATAATTCTTAGAACTAGATGTTTGACGTGTTTGCCTTTCTTTTTTGTCTATTTCTTTAAAAAAAAAAAACAGGAACTTCTTTTGCGTAAGATTTTAACATCTAAGACTGAGCAAAGGCAAAGAAATCCGGAAAATTTGTTTTTCTTGTGATTAACGTATAATTAATTAAAATATTTTGGTGGTTTTAATGTTTCAAAAGAGAGTAAAAGATTGTTTAAACATTACTAATTCATATTTATAATAAATTAAAAATTAAAACTACTTATTTGCTGAACAGAATGAAATTTTCAAATGCAAAATTTTATTATAATAGATGCAAAATCCTCAAGTAACTTTGCTATTTTTTTTAGAGCATTTTCTTTTTTGTTTTTGTGGTGATACTAATATTGAATAAATAATTAATTATCTACATTTTAAATATCTATTCTATTGTAAAAATTGAATTAAATTTATGTAACTTTTCAAATAAATTATGTAATTTTTGAACATCTTGTGAAGTTTATAAAGAAGAAAAAGAACACAAATAGCTAATTAAAACGTTTTATTGAGAAAAGATTATATCACATTCACATATTTTAAAAATACTGACAACAATAATATCAAGTGTACAATGAAGACATTGCGTTTCTTTTTTAATCTCACTTTCAAGTAAAAAATCCATACCTATAAAAAACCATTAGATCAAGCACTCCATAGACCATAATAGCTGTAAAAGTCAATACAGAGCGCTTTCAGTTCAAACAAAATAAATTTTAGATGTGCTCTGATTGAATCTTAAAATTGAATATGCAAGTTTTAATAACATTAACACCTAACAATTAGTTTTAACAACAACAACATTAATTATATAAGACTAGCCTCTTCATCGAGTAATCTTTGCGCCTCTATAATAGAATTGTTGTAACATTGCGGAAACCTTTTATTTAAAGCTGCCGCTGTCGTCATATTCTGCTGCCTTCTAATAAAATAATAGGCAACTGCAGCAATAAATACTACCGATAAGATTAGAGTCATTACGATTCCACCTGCTGCAAAGGAATGTAGACATAACAATAGTTTATAATATAATAAAAAAAAATTTAATTACAAATTCCTATCGGTGGCTCCGTGTATAAGTACGTAGAAAAATTGTAAACAACAAACCCTGATACTTACCAACCAGTACAAACTTCGGAAACACTTGTACAAAGTAGGGCCTCGACACTAAAACATCGTGAACCCGTAGTAAGGAACCGTTGGAGGGGAGTTGGGGCACTTCTAAAATTTCGCAAAACAACGCAAACAAGTCGACAGTCCAGAAAGGAATAACCATCTTGTTCTTTTTTATTTTCGGCCCGCGTGCCACAAAGTATGGCTTCATTTTCAAATCTAAATTGTCGTAACCGTGAACGCCAAATTTCGATTTGTTGCTCACTTAAAAACAGAAATACTTTTCATTGCTTTATGAAGTAAGCAATTTTTACTGTGTCTACCTTTAAAATTGAATTTTTTCGAAAGATATTCAGCTGAAATTGCCAAGTCTTGAAATCCATAACCATCATCAGCTAAAAGAAATATAGGAGGGGTACGTGGATTATTTTTAAAGTGCCATCTAGTCAAAAGATCGTCCTTTTTAAACACCGAAAAGTGTCCTTGTTTCTTAGAAAATTCAGTCAAGTTTTCATAAATTGCTTCTTCGTATCCTTTAAAGTTCAAAACAATATTAAATTATCAGTATTTTATTACTATTAAAAATTATTACCCTCATGGGGAAGAATATGTAAAACAGGTGAGCTTCCAGCAATATCATAAGTATGGGGCTCTAAATATTGCGTTATGTCTATAAAATGCGGCGGGCTTACGCTGTCCATGCCATGGTCACTTAGAAATATTAAATTTACTTTTTCTGTTAAGTTGTTTTCCTCTAATTTTTTCTAAAATTCAGAACTATTATATACAAGGGTTTTTTATATTACATTCACTTACTTACAATTAAGTAACAAGTTAAATTATCAAGTCTTTTTATCAACTCAATAATTACTGGTGAATCAGGACCAAAAGCATGAGCATGTGAATCTGGCTCCTCAATATAAAGCATAATCAAATTTGCTGGCCTTTTGGGATGTACTATCCATGATATTACCTTCAAAATTTGTGTACTTTACAAATAGTTAAACATTTTGTAAGTCATTTACAATCATACCTCATCAACTCTTTGATTCCAATCAAAATGAGGGTCAAATTCCTTAAAATATTGNCTGTGTATAATCCTGTTGCAATAGAATGATGGTTGGGAAAAGTTTTTGTAGGAAAGACATTATTAATATATGGTGCATAAGTTCCTTCTCTTCTTAGAGCAAGTATGTTTGGTGTCTTTTTACCAACAAAATCGTAACGAAAACCATCGAAAGAAATAATTATTAAAACAGGATATTTTGATATACAATTTGCAAAACTTAATAATAAAAACGATAGCAAGATTTCACTTTGCATTTGTAATTTGAGTTAGCACTGAGAACTTCACAACTGATTCCTTATTTTACATCCATAATTTGTAGAAAGTAATGTAAATTATTTCGTAAAAATATTGTTCGGGTTCACCATACTGTTAAACTTCCCCTTATCAAGCCAACTGATAAGGTGAAAGTTGTTTTTGACTTAGAATAAAACAAGTTTTAATTAAAATTTGAAGGTAAAATAATTTAGGTTATGTAACCTACCTGGTTTTTCTTTGAGCACATGAAAACTCTGTGTATATTAAGCCAATTTTAATAGGTAATTATTGATACAATTTAGTGAACAATTGGACTGCAAATCTACGAAACAAATTTGGAATGTAAACAGTTAATTATTAATTAAGATTTAATTGTAAGTTTAAAATAAGAAACCATAAACATTTAATACATTACAATTTCATACGGCATGTGTAATGGTAAACACTATCTTTTCTTATTCGCTTTCTATGGTATATAGAAAATCAGTGTTCTATGGTAAATTTAAATCTGTTGTTTCTGAAGTTAATGACATTTGGCGCATGTTTGAAGAGTATTTTTTAGATGATTCATTTGTTGACTACAATAAAATTGATTTTAGAATTATCCATGTAGGCACAATATTATAATCAAATAACAATTCTTTGTGGTATTATCTGGCTGTAATTTATCCTTTTCTGTCTTTAGTTTGCCGAGAAGTTAATGTCGTACCACCATTACACTTAGTTGTGCTTTGTACAAGCCTTAATCACGGATTCATGTTATTTTACATGGCTCAATGGAGCCTGAAGTCAGTGCAGTCCTTCATGGACTGCGGCAGATATGGGTAATTGCATGGGCAGTTGCTTACCAACATCTCGCAGATTATTTTCTAGTGATGATAAAACAGACTTTGCTGACCTTATAAATGTAAGATATAAAGCAGGCTTTAATGCAACACTGATACAATTGCTTTCCAGAATCCTAATGAAGATACTACTAACAAAAGGTATGTTTGAAGAATAGCAAGAGTTACATTATATTACATTGCACTAGAATATTTTGTGAGTATGTCTTTAAGTGAAACTTGTTTTTCATGCTTGCATGAAGATGTTTTTTAATTCGGCATTTCCTCAAGACTAAAAAGAAACACAGACCAAAGGTATAATTTTAATTTGTTTTAAATAACCCCTTTAGTTTTCTTGTTTCTTAGGAAGCAGTTTTAAATTTGGTTGAAGACATTTTCCCCTCTTCTAAAAGTACTAATTATTCCAAGCTCAACAAGATACCACAGTATGTAATCATAAAATTGTACACATTTTCGGTTAAACATTAAAAGACATTTGATTTGTAGCTCATCAGATAGACAGAACATACCTTTACAATGTTTAGATGCCCGTGCTCTTTTAACAAATACTGCAAACTCTACACCTGCTAGTTCTCTAGATCTAGAATGGGAGCATGAAGCCTTGCCCTTAGAAGTTGTACAAGAGCCCTGTAACAGTTCATGGTATAAATATTTTTTCTTTATATAAATAAAACAGCTTTTGGTAATTTTTTACATTAGTTGACATTGGAATTGAGACATGAAGTTTAGTCAGGTAGATAGTACTGACCAAGTAGAATCGTGTGGTAGCATTAATT